CTTCAAAGTTATCCAAATCATTAATTTAAAAAATGTTCAGCATCATTGGACTAAGCATAGATCCCTGGGGTACTCCTCTAAAAAACTCCTGCTAGGTTGACATTAATTTTACATTAATTGCTACTCTTTGAGTCTAGCCATTCAACTTGTTGTGATTTCATATGATTCTTATAGAGTCTCCCATATCTTTTCAGATTTTTTTCACAAGAATAATCTGAAATACATTATTTCATCAATTGCTTTGCTACAATCTAGGTAAACTATCTTCTGCAATACCCTAACAATTTAGTAAAATCTGTCAAAAAAGGAAATAGGGTATGTTTGGCATAATTATTTCTTGCTCAAGTCATACTGGCTCATTCTTTCCTTTTCTGGATGTTAAACAACCTCTCTTTTATAATAATCTAGAATTTCTCCCCAAATGAAAATCAAGTTTGCTCAACTATGGTTTCCATACTCCATTTTCTTTTCTGTTTTGAAATCTTGGAAATTATCCCTCTTTTCATTCTTTGGTCATTCTCCCATTCTCTGCAGTCTTCAAAATATCATTGGTGGTAGCTGAGCAATCAAATACTCCAGGTCTTTCAGTACCCAAGGATGTATAGTAGAGCATAATGTACTAAGTTCATCAAGAGCAACTAGAAATTGATGCCCAATATAAATCTTAAGTCTTCAGTAGAGTTGTTACTACTTTTTCAGAAGATGAAATGTAGACTCTGCCATCTATCTCTCTTTTAACTTCATGTTTTACTTAAGCTTCAGCTCTTTTAGTGAAGGAGAGAGGCTCTTCCAAATCAAGTGTCAGAGCAGGGAGAAAAACACTAACAGTAAATTATAACATCTTTTTATTAGCCTTACATATTATACTTATCCTTCTGCAGTTTCAGACACTATTGACACCATCATTATCATCATCATGGTTATGTATTTTTATTACTATTACTTAAAGTCATTGTAAAACCATTAGAGTACACTATCTTAGAAAGGAAGAGATTGGGTAATATTAAGTATGGCAATGTTGTCCCAGACTGTAGAAATATATATTTGACTATATAATTATATAATATCCTATATAACAATCATTATTACAGTACTAGCATTTATATAACACTGGGATTTATTAAATAATTCACATATATCATCCCATGTGATCCTCACCCCAACTCTGTGAAGTAGGTGCTATTACTATCGCCATTTTATAGATGAGGAAACTGCTGACTCCTTATCTCCCTACTCCTTAAACACAGAAGTTCCTCAGAACTTTGACCTTGGCCTTCTTCTCTTCTCTATCCTCTTGTCAATCTTGTCCATACCAGATTATCATTTGGAATCACACCTATGAGAAATAACTCATTCAGACTCAGGAAGGATGAGGTTAAAAGCCCAGTTTATTACACAGTTGCAACCACAGGTGTCCTATGGACTTGGACACATAGTACCAAAGCAGGAGTTCACTATTTATTTCTAATCCTGGTGGCAAAGTCCCTCCTCTGTTTCCTCATTGGCTGAGTACTCCAGAGTGTACAACTTTCTGGTACGCCTATTACACATCTGCTCCTTGACATGTCTCTCCTTCTTTATACATCTCATGTTCAGAAAATGGCATCTTAACCCCTCCTGGAGGTGGAGAAGCTGATATTTATAAGCCTATTAAGCATGCACTCTCTAAGCAAAGCTGAACCTTTGTCCTACTTACTTTTAACAAGCAGAACAAGATAAGACCAGCTTTATCCCATTTTACTTAGTTACTTTTAGCAGCTGTTCCAATTTTATGGAATCTTTTGTTCTACTTAATTAACTTCTATTAGCCAAACAAGATAAGACTGGCTGTATCCTGTTTTATTTAGTTACTTTTCTAGCTGTTTGCTCCAAATTTATGGCAACAAACATTTTCAATATATCTCTCAACATCCACCCCAATGACTTCAATTATCATACCTGTGAAATATGCCCAAATTTCTGCTGGATATTTCCACCTGAATTTACCAGTGGCACCTTTAACTCAACCCTTCAAAATCTCTATTTTCTCTGTTCTCCTGAAAAGATGTTTCTTCCTCTTATTTATCTACTTCTTTTGGATGGTGCCAGCATCTTTCCAGTCATCTATTCACTTTCCTTCCTTTAAGTCCCAGTAGCCTCTTCCACAAAAACCTGTTTGACCACTTCTTGCAGTTAGGTAGCATAGCAGATAAAGAACTGAATCTGGAGTCAGGAAGATCTAACTCTTTCCTCTTTCATACTCCATATTCCAACCAGTTGCCTACTTATATTAATTCTACCTTTACTGTAAGCCATCATAGACTTCGAGCTGAAAGGGACTTCAGAGATACATCTAGTCCACGTCTTTTTTTTTTTTTTAAATCAAGGAACTAAGGCCAAGATAAATGAAGTGATTTCCCTGAGATTACAGAGCTAAAAAGTGGCAGGGCCATGGTTTGAACTGTCCTCTTCTGTCTCTAGAATTCACTGAATCATCATTTCTTATATCTGTTTTCTCTTTTACAAATCTACTACAACTACCTTAGTTCAGTCTTTCCTTTCGTTTTCTCTTGTCTATTCCCTATATGCCTCCTTCCAAACAATTCTTCAGAATGTTGTCCAAGAAATCTTCCTGATATACTACGTTAATTATGCCCTTCCCCTACCCACTGATCACTCAAAAATTTTCAAGGACTTTCCCTTGATTCTTGAATGAAATATAAGTCCCCAATCTTGGGATTCAATATTTGCTTGTTATTTTTACAATATGGCAATAATTTATCTTTTTCCACTCTTATATCACACTTCTGCCCCTTCGTCTATTTAATCTGTGTTTCAACCAAACTGGATTATTTCCCCATTCCTAATCCTTTTGTGGCCCTCTCCTCTATTCTTTCCTTTAGTTTCAACATCCACTATTCCTGGAATGCACTGTGGTTCATTTCAGTCTTATGAAGTACTTAACTTCCTTTAAGTCCCAATATTTGTATAGCCTTCCACAAAACCTTACCTATCCACTTACAGCTAGGTTCTATTGTTCACTCATTTATTGTGAATGACCCCAAATAGGGTTTTCCTGGCAGAGATACTAGAGTGGTTTGCCATGGTGGATTGAGAGCCTGGAGTCAGGAAGACTTTGGCCTCAGACACTTATTAGCACTGTGGCCCTGGTTTATTAAGTCATGTGATTCTGGCAAGTCACATCAGTTTCCTCAACTGTAAAATGGAAACAATAATAATGTTAATAATAACAATAATCAAAATATAATATTATAATATATTATATAATAATAATAATAATAATTCCTACTTCACAGGGCAGTTGTGAAGATCTAATGAGATAATATTTGTAAAGTGCTTAGCATAGTGCCTGGCACAAAGTAGGCACTCAATAAATATAATTTCCTTTTTCCTTTCTTTCCCTTGTCCCCAATTAAGAATGAATGCTCCCTTCTCACAGACACTTAGCCTGGACATCTTCTTTGCACTTAACCCACTCTCCTGTGTACCATAGTTAATTTTGTATTAGTGACACCCCCCCCAATTTGTTTGGAAACTCCTTGAAAGTAGAGTCTAGAGCAGGGGTGAGGAACCTGTGCACTCGAAGCCATATGTGGCCCTCTAGGTCCTCCAGTGTGACCCTTTGTCTCAATCCAAACTTCACAGAACAAATTGGCTGAAACAGCTGTCAACCAGTCTTAGAGAGTGGTATGGGCCACAGAGAGGTTAAATGACTTGCCCAGGGCCCCACAGCCAATAGGTGTCAGAAGTGGGACTTGAAACCAGCTCCTCTGGACTCCAAGGCCAGGTTCTCTCTGCACTAAAGATGAAGCCCACATATCTGCCCCTTCCCCAGGCTTCCCAATCTGAGCCACTCCAATGCCGGCCCCTCCTTCTGCCCCACACACACCCCTGCAGCCCCAGGTCCCTACTGGACCCCCGGCAGTGCAGGGAGGGTGGGGGAGGGGGTCGCCTGGGGGGGGCACAAATTGTCCCTTGAAGTTTTGATTTAGACAAAGGGCCACACTTGAGGACATAGAGGGCCACATGTGCCCTCAAGGCTGCAGGTTCCCCACCCCTGGTACAGCATAACTGTTTTTACACCCCTAGTGTCTGTCAAAATACCCTGGCTAAAGGAGGTACTTAATAAATGCTTGTTTATTTGACCTGGACTGTATTCAAGCACCCAGTATCCACCCTTCCCTTAATAATAAGTTAACTATGAAGAATGAACAGAAGGTATTTTTACAGAGAAGCTTTTAGGCAGTTACACTATTAACTTAAGCTTTGCTTCTTGGTCACCCATAAAAGGGCCCTTAGAGATCATCTAATCTTACTCACTCATTTTATAGATGATGAAACTAAGACCCAGAGAGTAGTCAGTGGCAGCAGTATTAATTTTTTACAGCTGAAAGAGCTGAATTTCTTTAGTTATTTAAAGTTAAAAAAAAATCTCTAAAGATCACCTGCCTTTTGTCATATGGCTAGGAGGTTTTAAAAATTCTGAGCTGTGTTCTTTAGCACAGGCTGACTTCATGGCCTGTGTCAGTGTGATATGTTTGCTGCACGTATTTTTTGATGAAGTTCTGTATCTGTGCTGTGAAGTGAATGGGGCAAAATCCTTAAACTTATTCTTAAATTATTTTCAAGGCATGTGTTCATAATTTCTCTGAATACCCTAATTAAGCAAGTTGCCCATTTTTATCATATTGAAAAACTACTTGTATTTTAATTTGAAAATAAACATAAATTATTTTAATGCCTTTAATTTTGGTATCTAAACCAAAATTGGCAGTTATGTCAAACCTACTGTACTGTATGCAGTCGCAAACTTTTGCCCCAGGGATATTTGCTCAGTTAAGCCCATAAATTTGACACATTTTACAATTTTGTACATCTCAAAAATAAAACAATTCCCTAACAATTTATTCACATATTTCTAAATGCATTTCTCTACTCAAAACAAGTAGAAATACAGTAATGAAGATTCTGATATTTATTTCATTCTTTTCCTATCACAGATTAAAGAGCACCTTGCCAAAGGTCAGAGAATGTTGGCAGGTGATGGGATGTCCCAGGTGACCAAGACCCTGTTGGATTTAACTCAGAGGAAAAATTTTTATGCAGGAGACCTTCTAATATCAGTGGAAATTCTACGAAATGTGACAGATACATTTAAAAGGGCAAGCTACATTCCTGCATCTGATGGCGTACAGGTAAGAGACAAGAGGACGTAAAGGAAGATTGGAAGAAAATCAATTTTTAGCTTAGAGGAGGTAGGGCCAGGGTTGAACACATGACGAGGATGGAAAGAGCATTTGGCAGAATGGAAAGAGCATTTGGTTTTGTGAAGAAGAATTCTGAGTATCTTCTCCCCCTAGAAAAATGACCTTGATTCACTTAAGGTGTTTCATTCCATGCCTCAGTGCCCCATACCACAAAAAAGCCAATAATATTTCTCACAGAGATAATCAATGCTATCTATGAAGTGCTCTGAGTTTCTCAGATTTTTTAAAAAAAACTATCAAAATTTTAAACTGATATTACAAAAACCTTATTTTCACACTTAACGTCACCACTTTGCCATCGGAATATATTTTTCATTATACTTTTATTATTATATTATATTATATACTTATTATTTTATTATTTATTATATCTATTATATTATATTATTATTTTCATTATACTTTTATTATACTTTTCATTAGGTCCAGTAGAAGCACATTAGGTATCCCAAGAATTTTAGGTTTCTTTTGTTTTCATTTTATAAATTAATTAGTAAGCATCACCTAGTGATGAAGTCTAGAGGTTTAGGGGTGCTGGGACCCCAAGATCACAACAAGGACCCTGCCTAAAAGAATTCAACCCAAATCTCCTTTCAGTCAGAGAAAAAGTTTGTTAGAGATAAACCATACAGGTCAGACTCTTAAGAAATCTGAACATTGGTGATGACCATAAAGACAAGCGAGCGTGAGAAAGTCTCAGTGTTTAAATGGGGGCAAGGGTGAATCTTATATACACTAAAGTAACTTTGGGTGACCAGAGGAGGGGCTGGGAAATGGATCTAGGTGACTTAGGGAGAATTCTGACTGGAATGTCTGAGAGATTGAATAGACAAAGGGAATAGATAATGAAGGGAACAGGAAGGAAGAAGTTTGAAAGACATCTGAATAAGATCAAAAGGTAGGGCTAGGGCTTTCAAAGGGAGGTAACGGGAGTCCATAAGGGACCATTTGAGACCAGAGTAAGAAAAGTTTAAGGGTTTTCTGGGGCCCATAGACATTTGGAGCCAAATTCTTTTTGGAGCAAGGGGCAAAGATCTCAGCTTGGGCCCATACCCCATCACTAGGATGTGTTAAGAGAAGTGGGGGAGAGGGGAAGAGAGTCAGATTGTGTTTATAATAGTACAGTCAGAAAATATTAGCAGATGGATTTCTTAAAAGAAAAGCAATCTAGTAACTATTCACAGCCTATTTTTCTTGTATGAAAAGACAGTATTGTTGTTTTATAGTAAGTCCATTCAATTTCAGATTGAAGTCCAAACCCTCAAGAGTTTCAACATTTTTCAGGCCACAAAAACAATTAAAGCTCTTTAAATAGAGTAGTTTTGTTTTGCTGCAGGTCCAATTTGAATTTTTTATTAACTCTTTTTAAGCTATAGGTTGACTCATTACAGCTGAAAGCATTGTTGTTGATCTCTGAATTTCTAGCATAATGACCTATCTTTATATCTCTTAGCATAAAGCTCATTAAAATAAGAGTTTGGCCAACCTCCCCGATAAGGTTTTGGGTTTTTTTGTTTTTGTTTTTGTTTTTGTTTTTTAACTTTCAGCTAACTCTTCATTTGGAGTTATATTTGCATTACTCAGGAAAAGGAGATTTCCAAAGTAAATAATAGGTAGCATTTATAAAATGTTTTAAGGTTTACAAAGTGCTTTATATATCTCAGTTATTCCTCACAGTAACCGTACAAGCTAAGTACCATTATTATCTTCATTTTATAAATAAGGAAACTAAGGCAGAAAGAGCTTAAGTAATTTGCTGAGGATAACTGTAACACAGGAGCTTTTGGGCTCTGGCCTCTATGAGGTTCACTCTTGATCTGGGCAGCCAGAAGGACAACAGAGGAAACATGATGAGGGGTTATTTAATTTATTCTTCTCAATGGGGTTACCAATAATGGGAGCGACAATTTATACAGTATCCCCTAATTACTCTTCAGGCAGGGCTGGATGAGAATATAGAGAGTAGGAGTTCCAGCTCTTACAATGTTCCCCTAAGTCTCAAAGACCAGTCAAAACAAGCACAGATTCATAAATCCCCCCAACCCTTGATGAAGGCAAGTCAAGGCACGCATAACATTCAGCTCGCATATCACAAATCCACAAATCCATACTCACTGACCAGTGCTCACTTGATTTATAGAGGAGCACACAAAGAAGGCAATTTGCCAACTATAGCCTCACAAGTTTACATTAACTTTAGCAATATCATGGTGACTTAGCATAGTGCAAGTGCAGTAGATGTTTACAACTTAAGCACAAATATTTATATTATTATATGGTTATGTAATAATGCACAGTTGCAGTATAAATTGTTTACAGGCATGATCCTAGGAACTAATATCTATAATCCTGGGAACTAGTAGATTATTTATGGCCATGGATCCTGGGAACTAGTATCTCAAAAACTTTGCATATAATCATACAGCTATTAAATATCTGAGTCAGGAAATGAATTAACATCTTCCTGGCTCCATGTCCAGCATTATGCCACCTGGCTGCTGTAACTATACAAGGAAACAAGGGGAAAAATCATACTTCACTGTTACTATGTACAGTATTCTCCTATTTCTGCTCATTTCATTTTGCATCAGTTCATATATGTCTCCCCAGGTTTTTCTGAAAACATCTTGTTATTTCTTATAGCACTATAGTATTCCATCACAGTTATATAACCACAGTTTGCTCAGCCATTCCCTGATTGATGGACATCTCCTCAATTTCCAATTCTTTGCAACAACTAAAAGAGGTACTATAAATATTTTGTACACATAGGTCCTTTTCTTTTTTCTTTTTTATCTCTTTGGGATATAGACCTAGTAGTGGTGTTGCTTAGTCCAAGAGTATGCGTGGCTTTATAGCCCTTTGGGCACAGTTCCAAACTGCTCTTCAGAATGGTTGAATCAGTATATAAATTCATCAACAGTACATTAGTGTTTTAATTTTTCCACATCCCCTCTAACATTTGTCATTTTCCTTTTCTGTCATATTAGCCAATCTGACAGGTGTGAGGTAGTAGCTCAGAGGTGTTTTAATTTGCATTTCTCTCATCAATAATGATTTAGAGCATTTTTATATGATTACAGATAGCTTTGATTACTTTGAAAACTGCCTGTTCATTTCCTTTGACCATTTATCAATTGAGGAATAGTTCTTCAGTTTTCCATATGTTTGAAGAATGAAATCTTTATCAGAGAAATTCACTTTAAAGTTTTTTTTCGCAGTAATGATTACCAACTTTGTATTTCACTACATCCTATTTCCCTCTTATTCCTTCTACTCTCTCTCTCTCTCTGGGTCTCTCTCTCTCTTTGTCTCTCTGTCTCTGTTTCTCTGTCTTTGTCTCTCTCTGTCTCCCTCTGTCTGTCTGTCTGTCTGTCTCTCTCTCTGTTTTTCTCTCTCTCTCTCTCTCCATTTACCATATCCATTCTCAAATGTGTTTCGCTTCTGGCTTTTACCTTCCTCAAACTGCCCTCCCTTCTATAAGCTACCCCGCTTCTCTTATCACTTTCCTTTCCTACTTTCCTGTATGGTAAGATAGATTTCTACACCCAAATGAGTGTGTGTATTATTCCCTTTTTGATCCAGTTCCAATGAGTTCCCCTCCCTATGTTCATGTACTCCCCTTACCATTTCTCCCATTTTCCCTTCCACTGTAAAATTTCTTTCAGGCCTCTTTTATGTCAGTAAATTTATTCTATTCTACCTCTCTCTTTCCCTTTCTCCCAATGCATTCTTCTTTCTCATCTTTTAGTTTTATTTTTTTAGATAATCATAGCATTATATCCAACTCAAACTTCTGCTTTCTGTCTATGTATACTCCTTCTAATTCCCTAATAATGAGAAAGTTTTTAGGGGTTGTAAATATCATTTTCCCATGTAGGAATATAAACAGTTGAACCTTATTTAATCCCTAATTATTTCTGTTTCCTGTTTACCATTTTATACTTCTTTTGCATCTTGTATTTGAAAGTCATATTTTCTGTTCAGCTCTGGTTTTTTCATTGGGAATGCGTGAAAGTCCTCTTATCTCACTGAATGTCTATTTTTTCCCCTGAAGAATAATACTCAGTTTTGCTGGGTAGGTGATTCTTGGTTGTAATACTACCTCTGTAATATAGTATTCCAAGCCCTATGATCCTTTAGTGTAGAAGCTGCTAAATCTTGTGTTATCCTGATTGTGGCTCTGCAGTATTTGAATTGTTTCTTTTTGGCTACTTGAAGTATTTTCTTCTTGATCTGCAAGATCTGGAATTTAGCTATAATATTCCTGAGAGTTTTCATTTTGTGATCTCTTTCAAAAGGTGATCGGTAAAATTTTCAATTTCTATTTTACCATCTGGTTCTAGAATATCTGGGTGATTTTCCTTGATAATTTCTTGAAAGATGATGTCTAGTCTCTTTTTGATCATCACTTTCAGGTAGTCCAATAATTCTTGAATTATCTCTTCTGGATCTGTTTTCAAGTTGTTTGTCCAATGAGATTTTTCACATTTTCTTCTATTGTTTTTCATTCTTTTGAATTTTTTTATTGTTTCTTGATGTCTCATAAAGTTATTGCCTTCTACTTGCCCTATTCTAAGGAATTGTTGCCTTCAATGGCTTTTTTTACCTCTTTTCCATTTGGCCAGTTCTACCTTTTAAGTATTTCTTCTGTTCAGTGAATTTTTGTATATCTTTTTCCATTTAGCCAAATCTGCTTTTCAAGACACTCTTTTTCTACATTGGATTTTTGTATCTCTTTTACCATTTGGCATATTCTGCCTTTTCAGGTGTTATTTTCCTTCTTTTTGTGCCTCCTTGACCAAGTTGTTGGCTCTTTTTTCATGATTTTCTTATATCACTCTCATTTCTCTTCTCAATTTTTCCTCTAGCTTTCTTATTTGATTTTTAAAATCCTTTTTGAGCTTTTCCATGGCCTGAGAGAAATT